TGTTTTCAGGCTTCATGGGATCTCTACAAAAATTGTTTCTGACCAGGGCTCCCAGTTAATTTCCCAAGTATGGAAGACCTTTTGTTTTGCACTCTCGGCCAAGGTATGTGTAAGCTCAGGTTTTCATCTTCAAATCACTGGCCAGTTGGAGAGGCTAAATAAAGAACTGGAGACGGCTCTCCACTGTGTAACCTTCCAAAACCCTTCCTCCTGGTCCTCACAACTGACATTGCTGGGATACGCATATAACTCTCTTACATCCTCTGCTACTAGTTTTTCGCCCTTCGAAGCATTTCTAGGGTACCAGCCTCCACTCTTTCCCCTCCATAGAAGCCGACCTCACCATGCCAACAGTACAGCAACAACTACAGAGGAGGAGGCAGGTGTGGACCCGGACCAGGGAGGACCTCCTCAAGATGGTCGAGAGAAACCAGCATTATGCCCATCGCTGTCGGCCTTTCACTCCCTCCCAATGACCTTGGACAGAAGGTGTGGCTCTCGGCTAAAGACATTCCCTTGATGTCCTTGACACACAAGCTCGCACCATGCTTCATTGGTCCTTATGAAATTGATTCTGTCATTAATTAGTCATGTCACATAAGCATTGTTATTGTTACTGTATAAAAGCTGTACTGACAGCATTATGAAAACAGTGAGATGTTCTATAACAGTCACCCTTTAAACAGGTATGGGTCTCTGTTGTTGTTGACAGAAATGAAGTTCTGGTTTCTTTTGCATTCATAGCAGCTTTTTCATTATGAGGAATAATAGTTACTGACCAGAAAACAAAAAGTCGTAGGTGGGGAGAATGAAAACATAAAAGTTCTTTCTGTTACTGGTTTTAAATGGCTTTCAGCTGAGTGAAAGCAGCTGATTACCGTTAAGAGGTACAAAGAAGGGCAAATTAGTATGATGCTGTAATTGGACTAGAAAAAACAGATGGAAGCAGAAAGTTCTAAGGGTGATCCACTAACAATTCTCCAATTTCTAAACACAAACGTAGTCAGTTCATTTCAGTAATCACCAACACCATTTAACAAGAGCAGCACAAATTGACCGGTCGCAAATAAAGAACCACTAACAACAGAGGCATAGCTTGTTGCCTCTGTTGTGATGGAGACAATATTGTATAAGTCTAGGTTTTATATATGTGTTTTTCCCATGGTAATTCAGACTAGGGAGAGGCCACAGAGGGAAAATCGATTTGTTCTAAGGCAATGGTGAAATCTTTAGTCAGACACTGAGTGGGGACTTGGTGGATCGGGGCAGACGCTCTGGATGAATCCTGAAACATGTGATGGAGGGCAAAACCATGTAATCTGTGTGTAACAGCTGTGTAGTGGTGTAGAAGAACGCCGAACATTATTTACCATTAGATCCAGAGCGATCCAATAAAGCTACTGCTGTGCCACATGTGCAAAAATACACACCCCTTTTTTCTGAATGCTGCGTGATATTACAGGTATTTTACTGAACTCAAAGGAAAAAAAAAATCAGATACACACCCAGCTGTGGACAACACTCAGTCTCAATCTGTGAGTCGAATGCCTCTACAAAATCCAGAGTTACAGTAAATGGCATTATTCTAACAAGTTTAACAATAGCCCGAGGTCCAATAACAGCTGTTTTGACAGATACTTTTAGTGTTATGTAACAAACACAATATGTAACAGAAAAGAAGAAAAGAACAGCTCAGAAAAAGGTAAGCTATCGAGGTGAGGACTTGAGTGACGACCTATAGGATAGACCGAAAACTCTGGCAGGCAGCTGTGCTACTGTGGCGTTAAAGGGATTGTTCAAATAAGAGTGTTGGCAGCTATGTCAAGCGCAAATGAGTTAAAAGATGATTTTCTTTCAGTATGAAACAATGGCACACACAGCAGTAAACTGCCTACCGCAAACCTCAGTAAATTACAGCTGTAAGACTGATTTTTCAATTCTCCCTTCCCAAATGTTTCTACTCTGAAAGAGAAACTCCTGAAAATGCATGTGCAATGAGGCCAGCCACAAAAATAAATGTCTTCATGCCTTTAAATTGCTAACCTTTTATTATAGCGCTATTATAAATCCCCCAAAATAGCATTTTAATGCAAACAGATTACAAACTCTGTTTTAAGAAGTGACATTACTATATGTGAATTGTTATCATTTCCTTTTTTCTTTGTATGTAGATGTCAACCTTAACAGTTAAACACAATTACTGAAAACTCAGTTCCCCCAAAGCACGGTGGCAGAGATGGAAATAATATTGAGGCAAAGCAATGCCTTTTGGAAACAGAGCAAAGATAAAGAAAAAAAAGTAGTAAACAAGAAAAGTTTTACAATTCACCTTATAGGTACTTTTTCAATCAGTCTAGTGTTCACACACATTGTTCTGGTTTGGACAGCAGGGTACTGAGGTCTTTAAAGAAAAGAAAAGAAACAACAACAGAAAAAGCATGCTGCACTAACTATACAATGCCCAATGCTGAGGCAATAAATCCCTACAGTATTTTTTTATTCTTTATATGTGTTCTGATAGGCCCTTTATTAGATTATTTAACAAACACTATAAATTGGCAGCCAAGGAAGTTGAAATGGCTGTGCTCTTTTGACAGAGGTGAAAGTAGTTATAAAACCATTCTCCAAACCAATATTTCATGCAAATTCTAAAGAAATGTTCAACCTGGAAAGAGCTTTATGGAAGAAAGGTTATACATGCAATTTACAAAGGTCACTATAAAAGATTCATTTTTTGAAACCAATCTATTTTACTGTTTTCCCAATACAATAACCCTGGCTCCTCAGTTTCAACATGTACATCTGAACCTGTACACAATGTCAGTGATAAATGTAAGCCTTAGGAGAAGGTCTTATAATACAAAATACAAAATCAGAACATGCACTATTAATATTTTTTATTCAATGTAGTTGCTAACCTTGTAGATATAATGCATTAATTTAAAACTGCCATAAAACAAAAAGAGTGTTGAGTTTGATATTGTAAGATCACTGGCCTTGTGTTTCTTAAGATGTACTGTTCACACTAAACATGGTTGTCTTGTACTGTGCCCATGCACAACTGTACTCCCTTCCCCCTTGTCTGCTGGACTGCACTCACACTGTGCTTTATGATCCAGGCCTGAGCACGCATCAATTTGTCTCAGCATCTCAATAAGCTTTCTCCCCATTTCATGCACACGCGCTTTTGAAAAGCACTCTTGTGAGCACAATGAGGTTCACAATTTTATGTATTTTGTGGCTTAATTTGGACATGGTTTTGTTTTGTTTTTTGAGCGGCGACACACTATTCTCTCACATGCCTTACAGATTTATAAATTACTTAATGCATTGACTTTCTCAGAGGCAATGGGTGTTTGAGTTTCATGCTTGGGCAGAAAACATATACCCACATCTTGGACAGACAACATGCGCTCCTCACACAGTAGCAGTGATCATATTTGTTAAAGGAACTGGTACAGCCTAGCATGAATAAAAAACTTTACATAATGTAATTGATTCAATATATCTCCTTGAATTTGTATGTGTGTTAATTTCCAGTTCATTTCTGGGTTTTGCTTCATATTTTTTTGGTAATTGATTTTCCTCTTTGTTTCCTGTAACTTTACATTCTGTCTTTGTCTTCCCAACACCGATTCCACCTGTTTTTTGTTTTCTTATTGAATCTCTGTGTATACTTTGGTCTGTCCCTCCTTCATTTTTTTGTCTCTATTTTTCTCATGCCCCTTTCTGGATTCCTATTTTGTTTTACCAAGTACATGACATGTTTTATTGCCAGTCAATAAAGCCTCAGCTTTTGTATTAATCCTGGCTCAGTGTTCTGCATTTGAGTCGTCTCCTGTAGAATCACAACAAGGATATTAATTCTGAATTATAAGATTTATTATAAAGTTTTAAATGAGTAAAAGTAATTAGCATGTCTTTGAAGATCATTCTTTGTGATCATAGTTTAATCTCCTTGCTAAGCATAAAGAAAATCATCACTTTTTGTTACAAGTCTCAGAGCCGTTAATAAATTATCTGATGATAAATAACCACACTGACCTTTCAAGTGAAAATTTGATGCATAATATGAAATGTGCAATATGAAATACTACTCACCAACACATTTAAAGTGAAATTAAAGCTAGTACTTCAAACTTACTCTGATTAAACAGAGATAAATCAAACTTTGGGCATTTTGAAGGATTTCTTAGTGAATTAGACATAGTTTTTCATTTCTACTCCATGTCAAACTAGTAGTGCATGTAATATAAAGCAGTTTTTGCTTGACAGATAATCATTAAGTGTCCCCGCAAGACAGGGGCACTTTGTGTGTGTGTGTGAACTCAAAGAACAGTGTGCTTGTGTCTCTCCCTTAACATACCTCATCACTTTCACTGCCAATAAAGTCATCCTCGGGCTGGACATCATACCGCCTCCCAATCTTGCTCTGAACCTGACGATCTCCCATCTCCATCTTCTCCTGGTCACCCTGGCCTTGTCCTCGTTTGGGTGAGTGAGGCTGGGATGAGAAAGTGAACACCTTCTCTTGCAGAGTGAGCTGAGGCTCAGACCCTTCATTACTCTCCCAGCTGTTCCAGACCTTCAGGTCAGAAGGCAAACCTTGCTGCACAGAGCACAGTTGAGACTCTGTGACCATGAGTGCTGAGCTTTCCTTTGCAGGAGTGTGACACTCATCTAAATGAAAGATGATAAAATAAGATCAAGTAACAAAAGAATAGTTGCAAGGAAATGTCATTAAGAGTTTTAAATGTACAAATTCCCAAGTATGTCTTTCGTAACGCGTGTGAACAATTAGACATGGAGTCAAATTACAATGAGCAATAAATCACTGTTTTATTACTTTTTAATCATACGGTTACTCTCATTCTAATTTGATTTGAATATGTGCACACGAAATTCATAATAACGATATAATAGGGTTGCAAATCATTCAACGACCTGGCAAAATAAGCATTAATGAAGTTATCTTTCACTGACATGTTTGTATCGCTTATTAACAACCCTGCTAGGTTAATTAGGTTCAATGAAACGTTATAGACAAAGAAAGAAGAAAAACATCAGTAGTAAGAAAACCATTTTACTGCTAATTCGTCACTGATGAAATGTCACCTATGCCAACTTTATATACATATATGTATATACATAGCAAAGAGAATAAAAGCTTGTTTTAGCCTTTAATGAATGCTGCATCCACTTCTGTTGGTATGCGAGAAACAATGAATCCTCATACTGCGAGATAAGCCTGAGATCACAGAAAGGGGCACCTAAATTTGAATGAGTGAGCACATTTGAATCTCTCGACAGTATAATCACTTTCTCTAATTGCCCACTGTGTGGCAAACCCTGTGCCCAGGAGATGTCCCTCTGACTTTTATTTAATGCGCCACATTACCATTAATGAACTAACTGCTTTCCGTCTGTGGGCAGGGCTGCAGCAAAGGAGCTTACTGCTGGAGAAACATCCATAATTGAGCTTTCGGAACACATGCACTCACTTCACAAGGACAATGTGGGTATAGGTGTGTCCATGTGTGTGTGTGTGTGGGGTAGCAGTGTGGGGAGAGTTTGTGGGGGAGGGATCCCACAAGTGGCCTTGACACAGGTTATGCAAAATTAAAAAGGGGGGAAAAGCTTGTGTCCAATGTAGAATGAGATCTTTTAAAATTCATGCAACACTTCAACAATCCAGTTTAAAAAGTAAGAGTGGGAACACATGTTGTTTTTCTCAAGCATAAACAAGGTGCTTATTAAAATCATAACATGCAAAGCAGTCATCAAAATCACCCAGCATGTACATTGCTCTATTTTGTCTCGTGTTCCCATCTCTTGCTGTCGTGCTTAACTTTTCACTGATATCACAAGTCTTCCTGGTGTCTATTTACAGCTGCTTTAAGCCTCATCGGCTACATGTTCTGACTTTTCTGCTAGGGTTAGAGGCTGGTGCTTGCTGTCCTGCCTGCTGGATGAAGGACTGCAGCTTTCCCAGTTTTCACTATTCCCTCTATGGTGCTGAGGTACAGCATCCCAAGGAGACGTTAACCATAACTGAAACACCTAATAATATAAAAGAATAGTACACCTTTAGCCCACCACAACACACATAGAATATACACTCAACTGCCACTTTATTAGGCACACCAGCTCATTAATGAAAATATTAAATCAGGTAATCACTAATAGCCAACAGAAATGGTTAGGATGACATGCAAATGAAATGTTCAAATAAAACATTAAAATGGGGAAAGAAAATTATTTCAGTGTCTCTGAACATGGAATGGCTGTTGGTGCCAGACGAGCTAGTCAGAGTATTTTAGAAACTGTTGATCTGCTGGGATTTTCCCACACAACCATCTCTAGAGTTTGCAGAGAATTGTTTGAAAAAGATAAAATATCCACCGAGCAGGCACCTCTCTGGGTGAGAATGCCTTGTTGATTCCAGAGGTCAGAGGAGAATGGTCAGGCTGCTTTGAGCTGATAGGAAGGCAAAGTACAGTGACTGAAATAAGCTCAAATAAACGCAACCAAGGTATGCAGAAGAACAATTCTGAACGCACAACATGTCAGACTTTAAAACAGACAGACAGCAGCAGCATCAGAAGACCACACCAGGTTCTGCTTCTGCCAGCTATGAACAGGAAATTGCAGCTAAAACTTGTATAGGTTCACCAAAATTGGAAAAAAGAAGACTGAAAATTCCCTGCCTGATCTGATAAGTCTTGCTTTCTATTGCTACACTTGGATGGTAGGATCAGAATTTGGCATAAACTACCAAAAAGCATGGCTCCAGTATCCCTTGAATTAAGGGCCCCTATTACCAACTGAGCATTGTTTGAACATCACAGCCTACATAAATATTGCTGATGATCATCCATCCCTTTATAAACACAGTGTGGCCATATATGACACAAAGCTCATATCTCTAATAGAGCTCCTTTGGAATGTGGTAGAACAGGAGATTTATATCACAGATGTGGAATTTACACATCTGCAGCATCTGTGTGATGCTACATGTCATCATGGACTAAAATCTCTGAGGAATGTTTCCAGTAACTGGTGAACCTACACCACAAAGAATTAAGGCAGTTCTGAAGGCAAAATGGGGTCCAACTGGCTGGTAAGTTAATACAGTGCACACAACTTACTTGATGATGTTTGCTTTTCTCCTCCAGCACTGATGACTCTCAGCTTCTTAGATCCCTTCTTGTCAACTGCTCTTTTTTTAGGGGGATGTGGCTGTAAACTGCCAGATGCTCCTACATAATGTACTTTCAACATTACAAAAGCTTTATAACACAAAACAGTCAAACAACAATGTTATTAGAGCTTGCCAGAAGCATATCTGTGAATTGATTATGCACCGTGAAAATCCTTATTAATGAAGGCATTTCAGTAACTGAGCTTCTTACATTCATTCAGTGAGGAGAATATTTCCAGCTACATTATGTTCAGCTGAATTAGGGAATTTTAATCATCCCATTTTTTCATTCTGTCATGCTCAAAGAATGCTGTATTACCATCCATAAAAGCTGTTATTAGGTGCCTGAAAGAACATGTTCTGAGAAAGAGGACTCTTATTTTGTTAGTTTGTTGATTCAAATGCACTGCATTTACTCATGTCTAGTATCTGGAAGAAATGAAAAGGCAAAGTAATCATCTATGCTCTAAGGGCAAAGATGCACTGGAAATCAAGTATATTAAAATCCCACTATTATATTAAAACTTTTTTACTCTTTGAGGATTTAGTGTCAAAAACCATTCACAGGTACTGAGTCAATGGCAGCTAGTTTTGCACTGAAGATTTGTGGTAAAATCTGTTTCAGTTCGTTTCATTATACCAATGTTTAATTCAAAGTATGATGAAAATGTTTTTCCAGACCACAATTTAAGTTCATAAAATAGGCATTAGTTGTTTTGTGTCTATATCTAACACTTCACATCAGCAAGTATAAGGTGAATCTGCTTCACAAACCTAAACTCTAATGAACTCTTCATTTCCTTTGTTGGCAAATTAGATAAAGTGGTCCTCAAGACCTGCACAGATTCAACAATAACATATCTGCCCAGTAACTGAAAGGTCACAGTGCAAAACTGCAATGCCCCTGGTTTGATTACAGCCAGCGGGTGTGTTGCATATCACACCCCTCTTTCACCCAATGTTCTGTTTCCTTCTTTGCTGTCAGCTATTCACTTAAGGCATAATGCCAAAAAAATACACATCTAAAAAAATATGACCTAATGAGGATGTGGGGAGTAGTGCTTGTAGTATCTGTTTAATAACCCATCATCATTCTGCTCAGCGTCGGCACAGAAAAAAATGAGCAGAGGAAGTGAAAATAATATTTTTTTTTTGGCTTCTTTCCAAAAACTATTTTTGTTCTTCAGGTTTCAGCCTCTTTTTTTCTTTTCGGGTTAAAGAACTGTTTTTTTTTTTTTTTATCCCTGTTGAAACCCCTAAATATTATTTTACAATTAAATATTTATCTAGTCCCATTTCCTGGGTTCTTCCTCATTTTCTAAACCTTGTTTAATGTGGCATGGGTTCCTGCAGATACACAACACTCCCAGTCCACACAGACATATGTTACAATGGTGTACATGCAGCCAGAAAAGCATATCTTCAGCTTGAGCTAGTGTACAAAGAAATAGAAAGGAAAACAAACAAACAAACAGATAATAGATAAATAAAGTCTGTAACTAGCGATGCTAAGTGTTTGAGTGATAAAATAGCAAGATAAACAGGGTTTGTTCATACATAGATAGCATTCAGACTCAATAAATCACTCTTTGTACTCTGTCAAATTTACCCTCATTGGGAATGTGGGAAGGTTCTCCATGTGATAAATTCTCACTCTGGTTGGTAATGCTCTGACTTTCTGTAGTAACCTTTTGGTTCATTCTACTCGATCCCTGTGGGACGTAACCAAAGGAAACATACAAGTTCTGAGACAAATTTATTCTGTTTTGTAGTAAATACAATTTATGGCAGGCATACAAATCATTCAGAGAGATATGCTGTATGTTCTTACAGGATTGGTTAGATTACTAATTTGGAAAGGAAAAACAGAGACTACATTTCTTTCAGTTCCATCTTATGTTACCTTGCTATTTCTTCCAGTTAGGAGAGGTGGTCCAGAGGCTCTGGAGCCTGAGGCTGTGTGTAAAATGCCCTGGGGCCTGGTTCTCCGATAACAGGTTGATCTGGCAGTGGTAGGAACTGCACAAAAGTAAGGCATTCCCATTAGTTATTGATCTGAATTGATTAGTTCCTGTAGGATTTCTCTTATGCTACTACATAAGGCCATTTCAGTTTGAAGGGCACAGACCAGCATATTAAGATGAGGAAAGAGCTGTGTTCTTTCAAACTAAAAAGATCCCTTAAAGTCCCTTTGTAACTGTGAATAAAAATCTTTAGAACGTTCCCTTTTATGTAGATTATATACTGCAATATGTTTTTTTTATTAAATTTCTTAAACTATATTGCAAACATAATCAATCAAGAAAATACTATGCACTTTACTAATGCTTAGCATTTTAATTAGAGTCTAATGGGCAAAATATTTTAAGAGGAATGAAAATTAATGATTGGATACAAATTTGACTCTACTGCTGAGCTGATATAACGGATGTTTTTCTTTAATCTAACAATCTGTTCCATTTCATCATGTGAAAATAATGGGCTACAGTGGGAGATGTGATATGGCGACAACTTGACCCCGCTGTATCTGTGCCAGGACTCATCAGGACCACCTCGGCTGATGTTAACAGCCAAACACACTTTCTTGTAAAGCCTCATCAGAAGAGTGAGCAAATACTTTGCTCTCTGCAAAACACGCACACACACACACACACACACATACACACTACAATAAAAAACAGGCAGAGCTTTGGTGGATTTAAGAAGAGAAAGAGTTGATGTTGCCCCTGTGTGATGCAGCAAGTTAAATTAATTGAACTTTACTGCTGGAATGTGTACATTCCTCCTGAAACTTGAAAGAGTGATATAACAGCAAGAACTACAACAAGATCTATGTCTGCATAAGCTACAAATATTTTTAGAACAGACTTTAATTTATGAGAAATTTTTGTCTTTGGGATTAAGAGAACGTCTTTGCTGAAGCACAGAGATAATCAGGACTTGTTTGTTGTCGCATGATACAAAGTGCTGTAGCTTACTTTTAACAGTTTCTGACACTTTGGCTATTGAAGGATCAGCATTCACCCAGCAATTCTGTCAAAGTCAAAATTGGATGCCTACTTTAATAGCAATCGTTTTAATTATGATTAGGAATGTTATGCTAATAATGCAGATGCTAATTATGAAAAGATATTTCTTGTGCGTGGTTACTGCTCTCTTCTATGGGCACTGCTGGTTGACTCAACATGACTTAGACAGCTGTCAGAACAAATAAATATGCACTGATAAAAAAGGCCACAAAGGCGACAGAAGTGGATTACTGGTGCATGTCTTTTTATATGAGGAGATAATTGCAGCTCCTTGAGTACAGGTGAGGCACAAATGAACACAAAAATGAAGACCACGGGAATTTCATTCCAGGAAAACAAAGTGATTATCATCACAGTGCCTTTGTAGCAAACACTTTCTCTACATGTAACCATTTGTGAACCGTTTTCTATTCATCTGTATAAATAAGTGAGTTCATGGGTGGAATGTGGCTCATATTGTGTACTCTCAATGTATAGACTCACATATTAAGACTCACATTGTTTTGTAAGTTACTCTCAAAACAATGACCCTGCTGTGATCCATTAAAGAAGACCTACACTAAAGGACAAAAATATCTGACAAATTATGTTAACCCTGTGAACATTACATTAATTTGCAATGTTGTAACACACCACTATTATGCTATAGTAACTATCACATCTCCTCTGGGGTCAAGAGCTTTGCACGGATTTTTAAATCCGGCTGCAGGGATTTCATCCACAACATTGTTGGTGGAGTCAGGCACTGATGCTGAAGATAAGGCCTGTCTTTGAGTCTGCACTCCAATTTATCCCAACAGCGCTCAGTGGCATTGAACTCAGATTTTGTGCAGAAAAATTACTTCACACCTAACTTATAAAGCCTTTTTCTTTACAAACCTGGCTTTGTGCAAAGGGGTTCTGTTATCCTTCCAGATAAAACTCCTTCCTCCAAACTGTTGCTGAAAAGACTACCAATCTCAAAAACAAAGGGTCCTACTCCAAATAGTCAAAATCGTCTTTGTTAAACAAAGCAACAGCTACTTCATATATGATTTTAATGACAGTTTACACTTTTGCACGCTTTAGGGTTACTTTTGATGAAATTACAATTCTCAAAATATTTTTTGTTTGTGTCTTATCTTACGTACCACAGTCAGAGTTAGAAAGACCAGTCCTCAAATCTGTTTTTCGCACATTTTCCCTGTTGAACACCTGAATGACTTGGTTCACGTCTGGTGGGAACTGGCAACTGCGTGGGATTAAGTCCATGAGACCAGCTCCACTGCGAAACATGTCTAGATTGGAAAAAGTAACAATCTCACACTAATATTAGCTATAAAATAAGCTCAAACACATTATTACAATATATAACATCACACCACAAAAGTAACACTTTGATCAACTGAAAAATACGAACTGACCGAGACACCCTTTTTGGTAGATAGAGTAGGTGTGCAGTAGGCAGCCAGTAATGTGCAGCTGTTATCACTGCTGAGCCATATCAGCCTTGAACAAAATCTACCACTGAGTTCTCAGCCAGCCACAGAAAAACAGCCAACTGTTTGTCTCTCTATCTCTCCAAACACACAAACATAATTTCACACAAACCCACAAGAACAAAGACCACTGGCTTGCTTCTGTGGCAAGTACTTAGGTACTGTATCTTTATTAAACACATTTGGAGTAGCGTATTGGGTAAGTCGATAAAACTTCAAAATTTGAAACCAGCAACCAACTGCTTTACCATCATCTGACATTCCTGCATGCTCCGTTCTTACAGTGAAGATTCTCCGGACTTTGCAGGTAGCGAACAACGTGATGCCATCCAGTGTCAAAAATCCCTTGAACAGTTCACCGCTCAGTGATACAAGGTCGATGCATAATGTTGACCACTGAGAAAACACATACAATATGAATTTGTAGTTAAAAGCACCACACACAGATAAAGCTCAATGCCTACTAAGAAACATGGCAAAGGAAAAAAACAAACAAAAAACAAACAAACAAACAGCGGACAGCAAATTTAATACTAAAGGAATGTCAAAGATGAATAAGATACTCACAACATTGCGTTTCAGTCCAACAAAAGGTATCTTTGCATGCAAAAGTGTGGCAGACACCTCTTTATGCACTGTTGATAAGTGGAGTCTTCTTTTTAGGCCCTCTGAATCAGTTATCCTGTGATTAACAGACAGCAAAGTAGAACATGAATTATCACCAGCATCAGTAGTGCCACTAAGAAATCATGACCTGTGAAAACAAAGAGCTTTATTGGTCTCTAGAGTAAGCTCTTAAAGATGTTTTCACTTTTATCTCACGCTGTGAAATCAGCTGTCATGACATACTCAAATGGAAGAAGAACAACGACACACAATGTTTTCACCGATTCTTAAAATAGTGTGCGAGTAAATATGCAGGTAAGTGTAAGAAAATCATTTTAGGCAATATCTCTCCCTGATGCTCTTGATATCCAAACAGTAGTTTCTACTGCATACTGTAAGCTGCAGTTTACCAAAGATTTTTTGGGGTAAATATAGAATTTACCAAATTAGACTGAAATAGAATAAAGATTGAAATAATGTGTGTTTTATCCACAATGTAGAGTGGCATTCTTCTTTCAGTGACTAAATGCAGCAGTGACGATATGTGAACACACAATTGCATTATGCAATCAGAGCCACTAAATGCAAACTGTGGAGAAAAACAGCGAGCACTTGACATTCACATTCTACATTGTAATAATGTGGCTGTTCAGAATTTATAGTGGCACACAAGATAAAAGCCTTCTTTGTAACAAATTGTTGAACAATATCTTAATAATAAATGGTTATTTAGGCTGTTACATAACAGTCAATGAGGCACTTTGTTTTCTAAGTGGCTCGATGGGTTTTTTCCTACCAGATGTAAACAAGCTGTTTTCACTGTGAGCACATTGTTATTCAATCACTATTTCTTTGTCACACTGTACATTACTGGAAAAGCATTTTTCACTGTACATTACAAAAAGCAAGTACTCTAAGTGAGTACATAAAATGTTATTTTGTTCCGCTCTGATACAATTTTCAGCCAGAATGTTAAAGATATATACCGAAATGTTGAAGTTAGTCAATTGAATTAACATTTATAACATTTGTACCATAAGAACAATCTCTGCGTTACTTACACAAGCTCAGCAGAAAAGTCATGACCGTGAGAAACGTTGACTTGAAGCACCAAAAATCTTTGGAGAAGTCCAACTAAGAAAAAACAAACAAACAAATGAAAAGAATGAGTTACTATTAATATTTAGAATTAAACAAAACAACAAGTTGCACACTTGTATGAAAGTAGTGGAGACTTACGAGACATTTTGCCATTCTCCGGCATTTGCATCTTGACTGTCTGGCTGCTTCCATCCAGACAGTAAACACATCCTTTGACTTCTTTATTATACTCCTAAGGGAGAAAATAATGCATAAGAGGAATTGCTCAGTCTCCGTGTGTTATGACCAGAAGACTACCTGTTGTGTAACTGCTCTCAGAGATGCAAAATTTCTTTTGTGTATTTAGTTTTGTTTGTTTGCTTTTTATCTGAATAAGTCTATAGTATATATGTTTAGAGAAATGCAATTGTTTCAGTCCTCATATGCAGGTGCCAGATTGTCTTTGAGAGGATGTAAAGCCTAGGTTAGTGTGACTACGTTACTAGTAATAAGCTAATAGTAAGTTAAACAAACAGCTCTAAAAAAAATAAATAACTAACTTTATATATGGCTGACGGCCCTCCGCAGAGTTTCCATTTAGCCGCAGGGTCTTTTCCTTGTCCACTGAAGATCTCAACCACAGCTCCACCCTGCAAGAAACAACTAGTTCTCGCTAGCCTGCAGTCGATGTTACATCAGCCTGAAGCTCATATCAGCTCCGAGGAAATTGTATTTTTATACACAGGGCAAGCATTTTAGTAAATAAAGGGCTAAATCGATTCGGTTAAAATAAGCTTACCTGATAATTATTCCTGAACATTTTACATGACACAACGTCAGCGGTGTGAAAATACTAATTTGACGTGGGCGTACACCCCTGTTCAAATGATAAAGGCAGTTGAGGAACACCAGTTTAGTTAACTCTGGACACGTCTCCATAGCAACCGGCAAAGTCCCGCTTGTAGAGCTCAAATCTCGCGAGTGTTTCTGTTTATGTTGTTTGTGTGTTTCCGCTTACCTTAACCTGAACAAAATCCCTATTAGAATACAGATTAAGCCCACAATCCAAATCTGACATGTCTTATAAAGCGATACCTGACCAAAGGTTAACTAACCAGTCATTTTTCCTAAGCCTTTCGACAGAGGTAATTAGTAGTTTTTTAATATACCTTTTGTCTGTAAAAACAAACAAGAGCCGATGGTATTGGTAACTGGAATAATTAAATCGGCACAGGTGACTCAAACAATTCTCACCTGCTATTTTCATTGTAAATAGCTGTTGTCGTTTACCTGCCACTCATTAAATCCAATAGGCGAATAACCTACTTTCACTTCTTTTTAGAAAAAATCCTGTCTGACACGCAGTTAACGCAATTTTGAAATTAATGTGATGACAAGATTAGCGGCCTACTTCTGACAGGGTGCTATAAATTAATCAGACATAATAGTTACTCATCGTATAAATTAGCCCCATTATTGACAAAATGTAGCACAATGAAATTTGAAAGATTTAAACAAGAAAGCTCAGATCACGAAATGTCCTTTGACTCTGCTTTTTTCACAACCAAAGTTTGTTATAGGCCAATTTTATTGGATTTCATTGTGGGTTTTTTTTTTTTTGTTTTGATGTTTGTTTATTTGAGAGAAATAAGTCATCTTTTATGTCTCATCATATTTCATGTTGCCAGACAATGTAGATGGAGAGTTTAGCAGTGAAAAGAAACCTCAGAAAAATACAACTTTTTTTTTCAAGAAATATTTGTGGAGTTGCAAAATCTAAGATGTGTTAATTATCCCAAGAATATCATTCCTAAAGGTGCTGCTTAACAAACAGTTAAAAATAGACCAGTGTTTAAGTTCTAGCCTCTCTTGAAATGCTAAAATCCATTATTGTGTCATTGTCACTTGCTTTGTTTACCCTGGCAGCAAAGCTATTATGAGATCAAAAAGATGTCTTTTAATTAGCTACTCAGGGAGGAAACATCCGGAAGTACAACTGTATGTCTTACAGCTTATTAACATTTTTTGCTTGTATCTGACTTCAAATACGACATGGTCTCAGTTATTTATGGATATAGAACAAAGGAAAACAAAGAAATCTATCCACTCGCACCTATGATGACTACAGTGAGTTTGCCAAACAAGTACTGCAGTCATTTTCATTGTGAGGGATTTTAGTGTTCAGTGCAATAACACCAACATCTTAAAACTCAGCATTGCAACAAAAATATAATGTTGTGAACTGTGAAAATTCTTATACCAGCAGATGAATAACCAAACACACGTCTCCAGTTTGTCAAATGTCAAGTATACACTCACTGGCCACTTTGTTAGGTACCCCTCTTCAGCTGCTCATTGATGCAAATATCTAATAAACCAATTAAATCCAGCAACTCATTGCATTTAAGCATGTAGATGTGGTCAAGATGACCTGCTGAAGTTCAAATAGAACATCAGAATGGGGAAGAAAGTTGATTTAAGTCACTTTGAGTGCAGTGTGGTTTTTGGTGACGGGCAAGCTGGTCAAAATATTTCAGAAACTGATGATCTACTGAGATTTCCCCACAAAACCATCTATAGGGTTTACAGAGAAAGGTCTGAAAAAGAGAAGATATCCAGTGAGTGGCAGTGGAGTTGGCTCTGGATAAAAATGCCTTGCTGATGTCAGAGGTCAGAGGAGAATAGCCAGATGACTTTGAGCTGATTTGAAGAAAAAGGGTAACTCAAATAACCACGCTACAAGAATTAGCATGGCAAACCTTAAAGCAGATAGGCTACAATTCACACATTGAATTATTGTTGGTACTCCTTGCTTCGCAGATGCCTTTCTTATTATTAACTCTTCTTACATAATTAGATACCTTTACAAATCTATCCACAGCAGAACAGAAAGTCTTGTTTTAATGGTTGATAACCTTTTATGAGTGTGGTATTGGAAGATATGTAATACTTAAGATTATCTTATGCTGTTCAGTATATAACATATACAATTTATCAAGTGTAACAGCTCATTGTATTCTTTACCTAACCTTAATAGAGAGTACTAAGGTGAAGAAACTCCATCAACCACTGGCTTGTAGTCTCTATATAGTCTGTCCTTTCTTCGTAGCTATTTTATTATGGATGCAGAATTGTGTGTAAGATGTGTGCAAGATCAGAAACAGCGTCAACAGAGCATGGTACTTTGAAAGGTTCATAATTGACTTTTTTCTCTGCAGAAATGGCTTGACGCTGATTGGGACAGACAGCATCATTAAAATAAAGCCTGGCATGCAGTGAACACTGATGAAGCCGGTATGGAGAAATCACTTAATAAATCAGCTCTTGTTAGCATACTTAATTATGACTAATTATTCAGTCATTATTTTGAAAAGAATCTATTCATTTACAACAGTCAAAACACATCAATTACTGTTCTCAATGTTAGTTCTGAAATGTTGTAGGGTGACTGCAACACAGAGGATTTCAATGGAATGACCACAGTCATGTCACTGATACTCTCAAAATACAGGCTTTATCGTGAAACTATTGTGCAGTTCAGGGCTTCTGAGTTAAACTAATCATTTCCATGACTACGCATTGCATTTACACATGATTTGAATGCAGGGATTGAACCTTACAGATGAGCATTTCAGAGTATAGTAGCAGACCTCTACCTTAAAGCCATTTGTATTGATCCAGTCTGGGTTTTTTCTTCTAAATGCTTTGCTTCTTTCAGCATAAAAAAAAAAAGATCGTTTAACCACCAAAAGGAATGGATCCCATTATGCAAGTGGGTTTCTGTTTTTTCTTAACCCCAGCCTAGGCTAATATATTATAATTTGTGTTCAGTTTGCCAGCTATAGCTTATGAATTCAGATGAATTAACGTAAATCATTGTCAGATGATAGGTGGTAGGTGGTAGTTTTATGAGTTCCCTCTTTTGTTCCTCACTAAGACTGTGTACTTGCATGCAACCAACGCCTGCTAAAACATGATTAGTGAATTGTATACCAGCATACAGAATGAGAAAACTCACATCTGAAAAGTATTTTTCCTGCAGATTCTACTTATTCATTTGCAGATATGCGATAACCTCCAAAGTATGTAGTTATTATAAATGTGCAGCCTTGGAATATGAACACATGCTTCCCTTGAGTGTCAACACAAGTTCAAAAAGACAAACTAATCACAGTGAGGAGTCAGATATCACGGTCATTAACTTCCTTCTTTCTTTTGCTAGCTGTGACACATGGGACAAATTCTGGACTACTACGGCTTTTGTGTTTCAAAAAGCTTTATGCTAGTCTTTTGATAGCAACTGAGCAGGAAATTGCAAAGCTTACATTACAACACAGCAGTCCATTATATCTGCTCATGTTTCTCATGAAGCCCTATTTCACTTAATGTTTCAAATATAGCACAACCTACATCTCAACCCCATACCCTTGAAAAGGGCTTTTGTCTTAGCTCAATTCGAATATCTCCTCAGACTTAAGTCCTTACTATGTGAAGTGATTTTTTTTCACAGCATTGCACTGCACAGCATTCAGTTAAATTTTGTATACATACTGTGCCAGATTTTATAGTGTGAATTTCAACAGCAAGCTGTGAGCTTGAGCAAAAGGTCCCAGCTTCTGGTTTAATAAACAGTATCACCTTGAAAGGCCAGCTTTTCTTTTATATCTGAAGACATATTTAGGTCACTGTGTTCTTTTGTTTTTATTCTTTATAGAATTGCTTTCAGCTAGTCTACTAGGATTACCAAGAGGTCAGTGGGAACACGTACATTACAGAGAAACATTTAGTGGAAGCATTGCAGCTTTTTTATTTTGAAAATAGCAGTGGAACCATTAAAAGACAAAATACCAAAATCTGTGTTTCCATTAAAATTACTCTTAGGAGAATGTGACATAACGTACTTAGCTGCCCATTATGTACAAACATGCCACGGCTCAAGGGACACGGCCATGAAATGTGTTCAGATACATAGGCACAAACACGTGCACACGAGCAAAATATGTTTTAAAGCATTTTTTTTAGAAAGAACAAGCACTTTAAATGTATTAAAGGTAAAATATGTGAGATTTCTCATCAGAAATAGTGAACACAGAGGGGGCAGCATTTTAGGAAAAGTATTACCATGATTTTATGATCAAAATTTCCCCCACCAACCGCCTCCATCTGTGCACTGCATTCACGTGGGATAAGAAAAGTCTGTGCTTTGCTGACATCTGTGGTCAGCGGCTACATTAATAGTATACCAACTGTTGAGTCTGCTGAAAAGCAGCAACATGTTGTCCATCCGTTCGTGGAGATTTCACAGTTTTTTGGGTCCATGAATGGATTTCCATGCTGTGCTGTGACAGGAGTCCTCCTAAATTTGGGTCTATAATGCTGTCCAAACTTTTATTTATAATTACCAATGTTGGCTCCATAAGTCCCGTGCTGTAAAGAGGCAGAACATAGGTTCAGACGGCATAAAATCACAGCAAAAAGAAAAAGGATCAACATGCCATATTTGGGCAGAAAAAATTTTACCTCTGTGATTTGTGCTAGGTGTTTTTTATTTAAAAATTAAAGACATATCAGCATGGTTCTTTGAAAATATTACAAATTACTAGAGGTCCTGAGGTGGTAATAGTCACATATGAATAGTATTAATCATACTATTAACAACAGTTTACTTAGCAGTCTAGAAGAATCAAGTTCAGCATCAAACTTAATTCCTTTTTTTCTCCAAAAGCTGTCTGAGGCAATGGAAAGTGGTGCAAATGTTTATTCTTGTTGTTATCATTTCATTTCTTGAAGAAGCTTCAGACATTGTTCTGTTTACTGTCTCAGCATCAGTTCTACTTCTTTGTTCTCTCTCTTCTTTGGACTCAAGGCAGGCTAGATGCAACATTGATTTACTGTGGTAATGCCTGGCAATATCTCAACTT